ATAATTATAATATTATTTATTAATAATTAAAATGTTTTATTAATAATTTTTACACATTTCGTTTGCTTCTGTAATTAAAGATCGTGGTTCGACTGTCAAAGAGAAATTGAAGGGGCTGTTTCTAGCTGTGTTGGTAAACTTTACATAAGGCACAATACATGTGACTCCGATTGAAATTGCTAGGCCGGAATAGATTAATAACGTGCGATTAGTCGTTTCGTTGCGCGAGACAGCGACCGAATTTCCGTAATCACGCCGGTTACGCGAGAGCGCCTTATTCTTTCGAGAGTCAGAATAGGTAGACCTCGGACGATTTCACGAGGCGTTTTCTTAACCGCCAAAAAGCCGTGCACGACAAAATAACGGGGCGATGCCGACATGCGTCGACGTAACGGGTCCGTTAGTAATAAACGTGGTGAAAGTTTTACGTGCACAGACTCGAACCCCGGCCCCGACTCAACAACAAAATGATACAATTTCTCTTGTTTTCCTTACGTAAGGCACGTAAGCTACGAGAACGCGTACAAATATGATCACTGTACAATAATGAGCCGAACGGTCCTACAATTTTTTTGATAGGTTTCCTAGAATCGCGTTGTTGATAAAGCGCCGAAACGTGCGAATTTCTTTGGAAGAGAGTGAGGGAGCCAAGAAAAGGCGATCGAGCAGCGATTCGTTACACTTTTGCCGCCTGATACCTAATTCACACGTTTTCGATCGCGATTTCCTAATTTTGCGCGAACCTAAAGTAACATTTTGAACGGAACTGGCGCCTGTTTTGTGTCCAACACTAAGCTGAAAATGAATTCAAGCTTTTCTTCGATAGAGGTTTTCAGCGCAATTTTAGAAGAATTTTAGAAGAATTCTTAGCGAATCTGATGCTGGTCTGTCTTAAGGAGGCATACCCGTTTGAAATCTTGAAGAATGAGTACATTTTCTAGATTTTTTTGCAGAACAACGACTTGATAAAAATTTTAAATTTTTTTACAATATTACTATACTCCGTCCAGCGAGAGAATGACCTCGGTCTGCGCATAGGCGGGTAAAGTGGGAAGAATATAGTGAGGTACTCAATACCGTATACGTAGATACGGCTTCTGTGGGTGGAGATCTGCGCGAAACGGACGAGTTTTCGTCCGACCTGAGGTCATTCTCTCGCTCGACGGAGTATACAATATTATTAACTACTTAAACAAAAATTTTCAGCTTAAAAAAAAATTTCTTTTCAAAGTTATAGGAATATTTGCAGATCTCTTCCGAATTTTAGGTGGCTGCACGGTGTGTATGAAAACGTTTGTAAATCATATCCAAAATCAAAAATACAAGTTTTTTTTATTAAATATATTAATAGCTATCTGCTATCCAAGCGTTTTTCCAAAATTTTCAAAAATAAAAAAATGGCAGCGTGTTGAAAAAGTTCCATTTTTTTTATTTATAACAGAAACAATGGGAAATCTGATTTAAAAAAGGCTTTGTTAGCAGATGAGGAATCTTATTAGGAACTCGCATGCAAAATTTGAAGTCAATCCGTCGAACGTAGCCCGAGTTTTCATGCACAACGTACATGAAAACATAAATCTGCAAATATTCGCATAACTTCTAAAAAACTTTGGTTTAAGCTGAAAATTTTTATTTAAATAGTTAATAATATTGTATTAATATTGTAAAAAAATTAATAATTTTTATCAAATCGTTGCGCTGCAAAAAAATCTAGAAAACGTACTCATTTTTCGAAAGTTCAAACGGGTATGCCTTCTTAATCTACTTGCAATCTTCTCTTTAATATTGAAGCTTGTTTTTAAAAGATATAAAGAGTTGACATCTTTGCAAGAAATATCGCTTACGAATTTATATATTATAATAATTGTAGGACATCCTAAATATTTTAAAATTAGAATATTTCGATGATATATCTATAATGTGCTACAATATTTAGTATAACAATTGTATTCATTTCTATGCCATGTGAAAAATCATTTTCAGATTCTTGTTGGTAAAAAACAATCAAAAGAATTTTTGACAAAGAAATAACGAATTTTACAAATCTTTTTCATAATTTTGATAAAGTACAAAATAAAAGTATCGCAATTTTATGCTTGATATTATTTTTCTTCAAGATTATTTAAGAACATTATCTCATAATTAAAATTGTGATTTCGTCTTCTTCAAATCTTCTTCAAAGATACAAAATTATATGTTGTGGCAAAAATATATCACTATCACTGTGCTACTGCAGACTGTAAGCCCAAGTTGGCTTATAAGGTTGAAACGAGACGGATGAAATCTCATATCGCCGTTCCTGCGATATAAATTCCACACCAGTTTAGCCGCGAAATGATAATTGTCCGCCGCTAGCACGACGATACGTTCCAATAAGCATCCAGCTCTCCGCTCTGATGGCGCAATAATTGAACGGGATCGGGAGATTATTTTCTCGAATAATGCACTTGCCTTGCTCCGAGAGCGAGGTGAAACACTTGCGTCAAGTGTCCCTCCTCTCTCATATGACGTTTGATATGTAATTGGTACAATTCCGACGAGGTTTATGTCTTTTTCCGTCAATCTCCGAAGAGCGAATCTTTTTTTTCCAGAGATATCTTTTGAAAAACATTTGAGAGAAATACGAGTGCGTGAGTAGGCCGAGGAAAAGGCCGCTTTCGTGAGATTTCACGGTGAGCCTGGAGGGTTCAGACGGGCGGTGCTGCGAAACCTCATCGAGGCAGGCCACGTGCGATTGTTTTCGAGTGCGGTTTCATCGCTTTATCTAAACGCAAAATCTCCTTTCTACTCTACTATCGGTGCAGGAAACGAAATCATCAAGTAGTAAGGATGGCTCACTCGACATCCTGTGGAATTTATTATCACACACTTCCGCGCCCTATCGAATTATCGATAATATCACGAAGGTACTTTGTGTAATTTTCTTCACATAAGATCAGACAGAATTCTCTCGAATTTATTTTTTCAATCCTCGTATTTTTGACAGTTTGTGATTGTAATTTAAAGACAATGTTCCCCTTAAAGAGCAAGTAAACTTATTTTCTTTTCTTTTTTTTTTTTCTCTCAGTCGTGAAAGTATTCGTTTGCCAGCCGAATAATAAGTAAAACTTTTTCCATTCTCATTGTCAGAAACTTTTTCGATTTTATTCACTACTTTCTCCTACTGGTATTTTATATCGTTTCTCATTAGAAATTTATTAAAAGAATCAGTGATCCATAGCGGAATGCTTTTTATATCGCTTTTTATGAAAAATTAAAAGCGGAAATAATTATCGAACAGTCGAGCGGTAACATATCAATGACGGGTCGATCAAATAATTTGCACGCACATCGAATAAAAAAATAATGCCACGAATAGTTATAAAAACAATCTAATTAGCTATTAATTTTACTAGCTAAGAATATAAATGTTTTTCTAAAAGAATCTTTAAGAGATCGAATCGTTTTTTAAATCACGTTTTACGCACGATTAAATAACAAGTTTTAAATGAAAATCTAATATTCAAATATCTCTTGGATAAATGCAACAATCTTGAATAAATATTAAATAATTTATTCAAACTAATGACTTCCCGAGAAACCTATATCCCAAAGTATGCAAAGAAAATGTGATCAGAAAGAGAACCGTATTAAATATATCGGTTTCACGAAATAGGCTACATTATTATATACGATATATATACAACAGAACGACAGAATTCTCTCGCACGACGTCTATAATCTCGCGTTACCGTTCACGCTTGGCAAAAGTATAACGGGGAGTCCCCGCGCGCTCTCTCCTCGCGCGAGATCTACTCGGCCGATTCACGTCGCCAGATAGGTGTGGTTCACCCACCTCGCCGGTGAACAGGTTCTCTTAAAAAGTGCAAGTGCAATCGTTGCCCCGGTGAACGTGCCCGGCTAACGCTGGGCGAAGCGGAGCGTGCGACTCCACGTGGAGTCGATCTGTCAAGCGACCTGTCAGGCGGCGGCGGCGGCGGCTCTCTGGCATTCTCACCAGTTGCGCTTACCGAATCGCTTGACATTTTTCGTGCCGACGTCATCAATGGCGCACTGCACTGGGTTTTCTTTCTATATCGATTTTCTCCTTTTACACCGTTTACGTAATCTATGCGAGCCGAGAATATTATTTAAATCGCTACAAATCTCAACTGGTTAGATAATCAAGACTTTTCAACACACACACACGCATTTAATGATTCTCCGAATATCTTTGTAATTTAATCTGCCGTTGAATTTTTAGTTAAATGTCGAGGACAACTTGCCATCCAATTCGCGCGATCCTGCGTAAATGTATTTACATTTGTAATTGCAATTTATCGTTACTTCATTTCCTACATCTCGCGAAGACGCAAAGTGGCTGTGCGAGTAAATATGCTTAATTTTCGAGAAAGTTACAGACTCGATCAGGTTTCTCGACTGATTTCTTGCGGTCGGAGAATAATCAAAATCGCGCGGTTTGCGTTAATCGGTATAAAGTTTCCCTTAATCGTCGGTAAAGAACGTATCCGGAATTTCCTTGAAAAAAAAGAACAAAGTGGCAAATAAAGTTTCTTGATTTTCTTCGAATATCGCATATTATGAATAAAATCTCTTTGAGCAATTTTTAAAGAGCGAACATTCAACAAATTTCTAACTTTAATTAATGGTAGAAACTTTTACTGTAGAAATTCTGGCGATTCGACTTGAAAAGACAACTTGCAAATCTTGAGTCGATCGCAACGTATTGCGCAAGTGGAATGATATAAATTTATACGTCGCTCTATATGTATAGATAAACGAGCGAGAGAGA